TATTGCATGTTTGAATTTCTTTCCAGTTTTTTCTTATCCAGTTTCCTTTTTAATCTCTGTTGTTTTTTTTCCCTCCTCATCTCTTGCTTTTAGAGGACTTGTTTTCTTTTTTTCTTTTTTAATTGGGAACATGGAGTAGATAAGTTCTCAGTTTTTTTCCTGATTCCCAGTGTAAAAAGCTCATTACAAAAAAAGCAAGTTTTCCCTCTTCCTGTTTACGGCTGTGCTCTTCTTTCCTTATGCAACAGCTTCCTATTGGTCCCCGGTTGTGTTGTTATTGATATTTTTGATTTCTTTACCTTTACAGAAGAGGGACTTGTGTACGGATGGTGTTTATTTAAACATTTTTTTTTTTTTTTTTTGAGTCAGAGTCTCACTCTGTTGCCCAGACTAGAGTGCTCCCGTGTCAGCCTAGCTCACAGCAACCTCAAACTCCTGAGCTCAAGCAATCCTCCTACATCAGCCTCCCGAGTAGCTGGGACTACAGACATGCACCACCTTGCCTGGCTAACTTTTTTTTCTATATATTTTTAGTTGTCCAGCTAATTTCTTTCTCTTTTTAGTAGAGACGGGGGTCTTGCTTTTGCTCAGGCTGGTCAAACTCCTGACCTTGAGCAATCCTCTTGCCTCGGCCTCCCAGAGTGCTAGGATTACAGGCATGAGCCACAACGCCTGGCCAAGGGATGGTGTTGACTGGTGAGCAACACTCCTTCATCTCCCTCCCTAAATTTAGGTGCCAGAGGAATCTTCTCTCAACATTAGGTTGGAGAGTAGGTGGGTGGGTACAATCAAATTTACAAAGAATAGGTCTTTTTCTGTACTCAGGAGAGGTCTTCCTTTACTGATGTTTAAACTTTTCATCCTTTGACTATAATGAGGGGAGTATTTTTGTGTGACTGGAAATAATTCAGAGTGTTTTTGATGTTTTCTTGTGTATTGGTAGTTAGAATACTATTCTAAGGGTTTATTCTGTTCCTGCAGCTACCTATCACCTGCTACATGGTATTCAGTGCACCACATGGCTTTTCCTTCGACTTCTGGCCATGCTTACTGCATTATTGGCAGAGAACAGCCTTGAAAGAGAATTAACAATGGGCACTACAAACCAGTAGGGGAAAGGCAGCTCAGAACTCAGGATCTGGTCTGCTGCTGTCATGACTGATCTGACTTCCTCTCTTTTGAGCTTCCCCATGCTATATATTGGATTGCCCAGGGCCGTGCCTTCTGTGCCCCACCCAGGCTGCCAGAGTCCTTGAAATCCAGGTTTTTCACCAACTCTGTCAAAATGATCCATCTTTTGTCTCAGTTTTCTAGCATGATTCTTCATCAAAAGTATCCCTGGTGATAATTAAAAGTGTTTATTTTGAGGGGTTTATAATCAGGTAATCTTTCTGGTCAGGGCCTAAGATTTCACATTTAAATTTGTACCCTGGGCACTTCCTTGTTCTCTAAAATTTGAGGACCACTGTCCAAGGCCCTTGCTAGGTAAGTGATTAATCTAAATGAATTCAAGCCAATTGCCATAAAGGTAATGGGTTGACGTTTGTATCTCTTAGCTGGTTATTACATGTTTTTTAAGGAAAGTCTATATTTAAAGTTATAAATAATGTGAAATTGTTGCGAGGAGGGACAAGTATAGAGGAAGTAGCCTACTTTTATTAGTCAAAACTGACTTTTAGTGTTTAAATGTATGCAGAGCATGTTCTGTGATAATCACATTTTTGTAAATGATCTTAAGTTCCAGGAAATTTAGTTATATTTCTCATACTGTTTTAGTCTCATTATGACTCTGATACACATTGATTTATAGGTTCATCAAAAGAAATGTCTCTGATCAAAAAAACACACAAAAAATTAGTTCCATACACATTAGATTAAAAAATCACATAAAAATATGGAGAGTGGTAGGGAAAGATTGTTTTTAATTAAAAAGGATCATTTGAGCAATGATTATAAACACTGTTAGAATTCACTGGGGCTGCTTTTCTGAAAAGATATATTTGAACAGTAGCAGAATAAGCTTTTTTACACTGTCTGGTCTGAGAGCTAACTTACAGTTTGGAAAGACTTCTCTCACTTGGTGGGGAAAATTATTCTATATTTTCAATCTTTAGCCTCTGCTGAAGCCATTAAAAAAGGTTTTGATTGAGCATTAAAAAAAATCAAACAGCTGTTGAGCCAGAGTAACACTCAAGCAAAATAGATGTATTAACAACTTATACTTTGACACGAGGAGCTCTGACTCATTTCTGACTTCAATTTATAATTAGAAATGAGAGGTTCATTGTTTAGGATGAGATGAAAATTGAAATTCATCTTTTTACCGAGAGTTCACCTATGTTCTGTTGTCACTTCTAGTCTGAATTTAGTTTAAGATAACTTATGTCTGGAAACATAGGCAGTTCACCTGTCTAAGGTTTTTTATTTGCAAAATAAGGATTCTACTTGCCATTATTGCTTAATAAGCCACAGTTGTGGTTATTTCCGGTTTCAGCCATCTCATAATAGGAAGTTATGAGATTCTAATTTCTGCCTCTACTAATGTATGAACTTGGTAGAGGACCAGAAAGTATTACAACTTGAAAAGTATGTATAAAAATGTTGATTGAATTATATTTACATTTTTGAGTTGAAATATTCTTGAGCAAAGAAACAATAATTATTCCATGATATTTTATTATGGTATATTATGATGATTCTAGTTGAGATGGATATCTTTTTAATATAATATAGTTCCTAATTTTGTAATCAAGCCATAAGTGTTTGTATTATTGTATGTAACATCCTTCAGCAAAGCCCAGTCCTTAGATAATTTGAAAAGTATTCAACCAAATATTAATTAGTGTTTTCATGTTCAGTCATCTTGCTAGTAGCACAGTACTGTTAATTAGATAAACTGTGGCAATTGAGTGAAATTTTATGTTTCAACTGACATTTTCAATAGTTCAGTAAACCTCAAGTAACTGGAGGGCTTAGGGAATGGAATGTTTTTACTTAGCTCAATTTTGTTATTAAGTAAGAGTTTGTTGGAATTTAAAAAATATTCCTAAATATATTAGCATTCTTTATGAATTGAGGCCAATATTTAAAATTTAGTATCTATCTCTCAATATATGTAAGGATTGTCATACAGTTGGAAAACTATCTGGCTGCTCCATTTCAATCTTGTCTTCCTCTTCTGTTTCTACATTCTCTCTCTGAGTGATGAAATGGGTTCTGTTACCATGTATGTAATACTCATTTAGAATCAACATTTCCAGCTCAGATTTTTATTCCTTTTGAGTTCAACATTTCTAGCTCAGATTTTTCTTCCTCTTGAGTTCAAAACACCTCAAAATGCCTGCTGGATCCCTTCACTTGGGTGTTTTAAACTCAGACTCAGTATGGCCAAACTAAGCCCATCTCTTTCCCCAAACCTGGTCTTCTTCCAGGGTTCTCTCTCAGTCAGTGTACCATCACCTAAAGGCAGAAAGCTGGGAATCTGTTTGAATCTTTTCTCTCCCCTATTCCTCATTCCTCCCCAGTCTTTTCAGTTGCATTGGTCATACCTAGTTCAATAGCAGTTTATTTTTCTTACAGAGACTCACCTTTATTAATTCTTTCTAGGGCATTCAGTCATAGATAAAACAGTAGTCTTTCTTTTTTACTTATATTTTATTGACCTGGTTTAACATTTAACACATGACACAAGGATGTGGTTTATGAATGTATAGTCAACGGATGGGAGCAGAGATGCTTCATGGTCAACATGCTGTAGACATCAGTGTTTTACAGAGCGACTGGACATTGTGTTGTTAATCTTTCAAGTTGGTTGAATGGAGGTTGGTTTAAAAGAGTTTCAATTGCTTATCTCCTTTTGTTAGAATATGAGCGCTTACAAGGTAAGGACTATATATCTTTTCATTTTTGTATAGCTAATTTTCCCCATGCACAGTGCCTGTTACTTAATAGATATTCCATATGTATTTGTTGGATGAATGAACAAATTCTTATATAGGTTATACTAAATTTGAATATCTAGAAATAATTTTGGTTTGGGAACCAGTTGGTATAGAGAGATCATTGGTCCTGGAGCCAAACAGGTTTGAGTTCTTTTTCGTTTGTATTCTTGAGTAGATTACTTTTTCTTTTTCATGGAGGAATGGAATCTCCCTTTGGGTTGTGTGAGGATTAAATGGGATGTGAAGTGTTTGACATAAGCAATAGTCCTGATGATGTTTATCCTTAATGAGGAGAATGTGGAAATTCACTTGGTCTGACTTTTCTCATTGAGAGGCCTGAACTACATGATCTATGTGTTTCCTTCCTGCTCTAAAATTCTGTTTCTATAAATAATGTTTCATGTTTTGGACAGGCTTAAATTACAAATATATGAATATTCCATGATACATCATATTTGTAGATTTGATAAAGTAGGTAATTAATGAGGTGATTTATTATAAGATAACCTTCTACCTTGGAAAACAATTTCAGGCTTTAGAATATCATTTGTTAGGCAGTTGAACTTTCTAATAAAGTGTGAAGAACAGCTTCGCAACACTAATCACTGTTATGCTATTAAAATAGGTACTAAAGTAGAAGGTAGAGAAGGAAGATCTGAGGAGGTTGTATGGGAGCATTAACTTAGAAGAGGTAGGAAAAATTAGGCTCTTGAAACTAAACTTACGCGGAGAGACTAAACTTTTTAGTAAATACGGTCCTGCTAAAATGTAACAGAATTTCTACTGTATTCAACATTACTCTTGTCATTATAAAAAACATAGATATGTATTTGTTACAAAACTAGGTTTTGGGTTTTCATGTTGATTACATTTTCCTCCAAATAAAAAAATGGGGAAAGAGTGAGAAAGATGGAAAACATAAAAATACTTTTTGGAATGGTCCTGAGATTATTTTCTGTTATACACCCCAAATTTTGGTTTATTTAAAGAAATTAGTCAAGTAGAATTTCTTCAATATTCATTCTATACTAATACTTATACTTAGTTTTTATATTGCAGTTATTTAACATGGAAGAAGATGAGTTCTTTGGAGAAAAAACATTCCAGCATTATTGTGCAGAATTCATTAAACATTCGCAGCAGATAGGTGATGGTTGGGAATGGAGAATGTCAAAGGTAAAAACAGAAAGTTTTGTTTTATATTTCAATGGAAGATTTTTTTGTTGTTTTATTTTGTTGCCATGTAAAACCTCAGTAATGGAACCTAAGGTATGAAAACTAGTTTGACTTAGTAAAAGGCTTAAATTAAAGAATGTTCTAAAGCAGATGTCTATTTTATTACTTCAACTATATATGCTCATTATTAGGTTAATGAAGTATTATTTAGAAAAGTCCTTAGGTGACCTGCTTTAATTTAATAGATAAGAATTAGCACATTAATTATCTGATTGTAAACAGATGCTTTTGTGGTACTTCACATCATTTGTTTACACTATTAATTTTCTTTGGAGACTACTTGTGTCTAAAGAGTAAAAAGATAATCTTGAAACCGAACCATAATCAACAATCACAAATTCTGAAATTTTGAGGACTGTATCAATTGAGAATTTCTTAATAATATAAACACATTTCAAAACATTTTTTCTTTTGGTTCTATTCAGTAATAATAATGTAAAAAGGGCCAGTGTAGTGGCTCTTGGCAGTAATCCCAGCTCTTTGGGAGGCCGAGGTGGGAGGATTGCTTGAGGCCAGGAGTTCTAGACCAGCCTAGGCAACATAGCAAGACCCTGTCTCTTCCTCAAAATATTATAAAAGAAATTTTCCTTTATTTCAAGCTGGAGGCAGATTGACAGAAACTCCTGTAGCCATTTCAGTGACTTGGCAGAATTAGATAGAAGGTTAGGGAGGGAGCAGGGGCTGTGTGTACATTTGTGTGGTATGGGAAGTTGAGAGGGCCAGGGCTGGGTAGGATCTTCAGGAAGGAAATTATATCTGTCAGAAGTTTCTTCACTGAACTAAACTAATGCCCCAAGGACCAATTTTCAGCATTTGTTTTTATTATTGGTTTGTCTCTAAAAAGATATGGCTAAGTCTAGCTTCTTGTTTGCTGCCAGTGGTTGCCTAGTTAGGAAATTTCCATACCCTTTGGCATGAGAGTTACACCTCTAATTAAGGACAATTTACTTTCATGTGGGGGATAAGCCCATTGATAGTATCAAAACAAAACAAAGCACTGCTCAGAGAAAATCTTAAGGCAAGAACTGCAAACTCAAATGTCTGTGGACCTGGGAGTAGGGCTGGTAGTGTAAGTGGGTGGAGCTGCCAGGGACAGAACAATATGAAGACTGAGTCCAGTGGTCTGTGGCTGACCAGAGTGCTTGGCCTATGGTGGGGTTGGAAACGTGGGCTCAAATGTTATCAGATCTTTTGATATTTCAATAAAAGTTAAAAAAAATCCAGATTCAGGGGGAGAAGTCTCTGAATTTTTAAATGTTGGCAACTAATTCAAACAATGAGGACCAAACCAAACATGTCAGTGATGCATAATATTTGGGCTGGGGAGGGCAGTTTCTGATATCTTGGGATTGGATGTGTGCATAGCATGATGGTTTCTCATCCAGCCCTGCCTTACTACACGCTGTTGATCTGAATTGGGGAAAGGGGCCCCAGGCAAAGCAAATCCCTGTCTCTTGAATTTGGGTGTGTTAGTATTTTTGTCACTTACTTTCCACTATCCTGTACTAGTTTTCTGAAGGGAATTGTGAATTGGTCCCTTGGTTATATCCTTCAAACCTTCTATTGTATTATGCAGTATCTCAGTTTTTTCCTGGAAGTTTTTGGATACAATATACTATTGTTTTGCTTCTCGGGTCCTAGAAATTTAGTTTTGCTTTTTAAATATTTAATATGACATTGAGGTATAATTGGTATAGAATAAACTGTACATATTTAAAGTATACAATTTGGTAAGTTTTGATACATCTATAGACCTGTGAACTTTTACTACATATCCTTCACCCCAAAAAGTTTCCTTGTACTCATACCTTACAATGCCTCCCTCTATCCCATCTCGCTCCTGAACATTATTTTTAACAAGAATCTTGTTTATACCTATATATAGAAGCTTCTTTAAAGAGTATACATATTGTCACTCATACTTTCAGGTTTGTTTGTAGATCATTTTGGCACCATCCATTTTATTTTTTAATTTTAAAAGAATCCTGACAATATTTAGAGAATTGGTATAATTCAGCTTTATAGAAAGGTAAAAGATTACTTCTCAGGCAAAATTGATGAGAAAAAGTGTGAATTAATGAAACATGTAAATTATTTAAAAATCTTAGTCAAAGAGGTCCTAAATTTTTATATCTGGAGCTAGGCAGAATAGGGAGAGTACTTCTAAATGGGTATTTTTTCAGTGGGACTTGATGCTATTGGCATCTGGGCAGAATAATTCTTCTTATTCCCCTACCTCTAACTTTTCCAAACCCATTAGGAAGGTGGTACACTCATTGAGAACAATTATTTAATGTGATGATCTGTAAGATGTCAAAGATACTGTTTAAGCACATGAGTTTCACAGTCAGATAGATTCAGGTTCAAATACTTGCTCTACCATTTACTAGCTGAATTTTAGGCAAGTTACTTAATGTCTCCAAACTATATTTTCTTTATCTATAAAATAGGAATAACAATAATACTCTCATATGCTTGTTGTATAGATTAAATGATATTTTTCATTCAAAGAGTTTAGCATAGTTTCTGGCACATCGAAAGCCATCATATAGTTATAATTTTTAGTTGGTTGTTTAAGTTTTTCAGTGTGTTTTGTTTTTTTTTTTTTTTTTTTTTTACAAAAGCAATGCTACTAATGAAGTTATGGTTAGGTTCTTAGAAAATTCTGTAAAACCTTTTTAGCACCAAAAATACGGTGCTGGTCAGTAGTATATTGTTCTGAGTTTCTCTAGGATAAGAAGAGAGAGCAGAAGGTGGGTACAGAATAAGAACAGGAGCCTCAGAAGGAGAATTCTCTCCTTCCCTTACCAAAATGTTTATCATCCTTTCTTTAGCAGCCTGAAATCTCATCCCTGCTTCACCTGTTGCATCTCCCTTAGTTCTCACCTGAACTTCAATAGCCTTCCAACTCTTCTCCAATTCATTCAACAAATTGCTGCCATAGTTAACCCTTTCAAAAGTACCTTTGATGCAGTCCCATTTTCTACATGATTTTTTCCCTTTGTATTCAGTTTGAGCTCCATCTTACCACAGAATAATATAGAAACTCCATAACAGAGTGTTCAAGGTCCCACATAGTGACTTCCTGCTACCCTTCCAGCTTCATTGTCCACTCTAACTCATTTCCTTCCATTCTCTCTCCAAATTCCTAGAAACGAAGGAAAAGCTCTTTTGAAAAATAAATAGGTAAATTTTTATCAGTTCTAGAAAACAAAACAAAAATCTTTAAGGGATAATAAATCTTGATGGTTTTCTGAAAGGTAGAAAGCAGATGAGATTGGGTTGAAGGAAGAAACCAGATCCCAAAGCCGGGTTTAGAGAGGAGAACTGGGGAGAAGAAGGGAGTTAGTGCTCCAAGTTCAAAGGCTGCAGACCCAAGCACAGTTCTGAGTTCCTTACTCTCTGCTTTTATAAGTTGTTTTGAAGTAAAAATAAGCTAACCAGCTTGAAATAAAGCCTTTTTCCACTTAATTTTGGATAATCAGTTTTACTCTTGAGTATCTTTTTTTCACAGTAATGTTTAAGATGCACTCTTACTGTAGCCTTTGCTATTGCAGAATTTTCCTTATTTGTATTAGGAAAAAATGGCAGAAACAAATATGTGAATCATTAATGTTCTCCTTAGGATCACCCTATAACCACATGGTCAATGGATATTTATTATGATGGATCGTAAAACTATGTCTACAAGCATCATTATTCAAAGAAAGGTGGGGATTGTTGTTTTAGTTCATTAAGCCTGACATTGCATAAACAAGTTGCTGACATTCTCTGGACAGAAGTGCCAAGAATCCCAGGTAGTTTTTGTACATTCATGGACTCCTAAATATGTGTCTGAAAATTAAACATTTAAATAGACCTGCTTTCTGTTCTTGAGAGCTGAAAAACACCATATAATCTTAAATTTCACCTTGCTTTTAAGATACAAGTTTTGAGGATATTTTTCAGAAATTTCACATGTGTTTTTATTGTTCTTTACCTACACAAATGAAAACAGTTGAGCACTTTAAGTCCAATGCATCAGTTGAGGCAAAAGATTTGCCACTTTTGGGCTGCCTCATGATTTCTCACTTTGTATTCACTCTGAGCCTTGTACTTCCTAAGTATCATCATTTTCATTTCCTGTTTTCTACTCATTTAAAAAAATAAAAACAAAATGCACTAAAATTATATAATTCCACAATTATATAAACACTAAAGTATAAAATTGGTGACCCAGGTGAAAGTGATCTACTGGCAGGCAGTGCTACTCTGTAGAAGCTCAAAATGGTGAAGGAATGTTCTAATTTGGCATAAGAAAAGCAATTTAATTATCTTAATGTAACAATTCATAAACAAATGTGCAGGTTACTTAAAAATACAGTGTATAAAAGTTGAGTATTGCTTGTAGTTGGATTTTATTTCTGGAAATAATTTGTGTTGTGGAAAAATTATATAGAATCAGAGGTGTAATGACAAAAATTGTATCCATAAAACTGAGACTTTGATGCAGACCTAAATAACTAGTCCCAATTCTGCTTTGGTTGTTAAATACTTTTTACCTAAACTTACTTTATTTTATTAGACTTTAAATTTACTTTATCATTTAATTTAATTTAAATTTATTTTATTTTACTTTATGAAGTAAATTTATTTTAATTTAATTAACATAATTACTTATGTCTGCTTAACTTTTATTCTTCTTCCTCTAGTTTACTTAAAAAATTTGTATATCCACTTAAATTTTTCAAGTGTTGGCAAGACCTATGTCACCAATCTAGTTCTCAGTTTCAGTGTGAAATGGGGTGGTTCCTAAATTTTTAGTGTTGATAACATTATTGCCTAGGTGTTCTTAATTGATGGTCCATGCTTTAGACTGCAGGCCACATGGCCTCTAGTGAATGCTTTGCAAAGAGGCACATTAAAGGGAATATGTATCAATAGCAAATGGCAGTCATGTG